AATATTTTTTTATCACTGCAGAATGTTGATGGTGGTTTTGCTACATATGAGCTGAGAAGATCCTATTAGTGGTTGGAGGTAACTACTTGACACGTATATGGCCTTATAATTTATTTGAACTAGGGGAAATGAAAGTAGAGGAAAACTCTGCTTCTTGAGATGAAATCATTGTTTAGGAAAGATGGAGTTAACATATGTGCGATATACTGTTTGTTTATGGTTTAGTGCTTACGTTACTATTATTAATTATTCTTAGAACAATTTAACCTTTATAATTGTCAAATTTTTTTGCATTTTGTAATGTGGCATGTATAATTGCACTGTTTCATGTTTCTCCCATTTTAAGTTAATCAACCCTGCTGAAACTTTTGGCGACATAGTTATCGATTACCTGTAAGTTCCTAGCTTACATTTTCTGTATAAGTCAGTTTTTTATAATTGATTACATTATGATTTGATGTTTATGGAGTGGCAACATAGATATGTTGAATGCACCTCAGCAGCAATTTAGGCACTAGCCTCATTCAGGAAATTATATCCTGAACATAGAACAGAAGAAATTCAAAATTGTATTGGTAGAGCTGTTGGGTTTATCAAAATGATGCAGGAAGAAGATGGCTCCTGGTTCGTTTAGAACTATTCCATAATCTATATCTTTTACGTGTTTACTTTGTAATTATTTGTCTTTACAGATTCTGCTACTTCGAGCAATTCTTCAACATGGCAAACTCAGTATCCATTGCTGAATAACTTGCTTTGTGCCGTCATTTTTTGCTAGGTATGGATCCTGGGGCATCTGCTTCAGTTATGCAGGATTCATTTACTTATAAAAAGGAGATGCAAAGTAAGAAGTTTGATACTTGATTTTAGGAATTTACTAATTTAAATATTGATTCTTTATTCTTATGAATTTATATTAGAATATTTATTTTTCTTAATTTTTTTATTTCCTTATTCAATAATCCTAATTTATGGTCACAAAGATTATAAATCCAATAAATATGTAATGTCGTATGGTTATTTTTTCTTAGGCGATAAAGTATAACAAAAGGCCTTTTGGTAATGGTTTGAAGTATCATCCTATAAATATGAGAATTGTTTGAGGTTTTCAATAAGAATTTACTTAGAGCATTAACAAAAGCTCAAGTACGGACTCATCGCGGCTATTACAGGAACTGCTGGCTATGTTGGTTATCTCTCTTACAGTAAGTCTTTTTTCTTTTGATTAAGATTGGGTCATTTGTGATTTAATTTTTATTACAATTTAAATGTGGGTTTTTAATATGATTAAAAATGTATATGTTTTTAAAAAAATTTAATTCATTTTACAGAGTGTTCATACGAGGAAGTAGATCAGAAGGCAAAGGCATTGCGGGCTGCTGCAAGTTTTACTCCTAGTGAAGATGCATCTATTGTTGATGTATGTTTGAGTTTGTTTGGAATTTTATCATTTTTAAATGAATTTCATCATTTTTAAATGAATTTTCTCATTTTAGCTTAGTATTTGAATAATGTTGTTCTAATTGTTCAATCTTTTTTAGTCAAATTACCTTTACAAGAATTTGTTCTAATTGTTTACCATTTAATTCTTCGATTTGAATTTTGTAGGAATGATCTTGCGGATGGATTACTGGAGAGGCTTTAAGTAGCAAATTTCTGGTTGTCGGTCTTGAGGATATTCATATATCATGTGTTTCTTAGTGTTGATAGGACTTTTTTTATGTGTTTTAATCAAATGTCCTAAACATTCTCTTACATAAGCAGTATTTTGGTGTCTAAACTTATGTAATGTCTAGCTTGATGTTTCAGTACCGACCGAAGATTTATTTATTTAACTTGGATGTTTGTAAAATTTGATTTTTTTTTATATTTTTATGTATTCATACTTAATTAGAATCGTAATGAAATTTAAGATGGTTATTGGATATTGTTACAGCTTCAATTTGGGTAATACAAAATTGGAAGAAGATATGTTGAGAAGCAGTTTCGATTAGCGGCGTTTGTTCTAAAAACGCCGCTATAGAATTGACCTTTTGCGACGTTTGTTCAAAAAATGCCGCTATAGATTCTGACCTTTTGTGGCGTTTGTTCAAAAAATGCCGCTACAGATCTGGCCTTTTGCGGCGTTTGTATCTAAAATGCCGCTATAGAACAACCTTTTGCGGCATTTTGTTCTAAATACGCCGCTATAGATATGACATGTTGTGGCGTTTGTTCTGAAAACGCCACTATAGAACGACCTTTTGTGGCGTTTTGTTCTAAAAACGCCGCTATAGATCTAACATTTTGCGGCGTTTGTTCTGAAAACGCCGCTATAGATCTCTACCTTTTGTGGCGTTTGTTCCGAAAACGCCGCTATATATATCGACTTTTAGCGGTGTTTGTTCCTAAAACGCCGCTATAGATATCGACCTTTAGCGGCGTTTGTTCCAAAAGCGCCGCAATAGATCTTGACCTATTGCGGCGTTTTTTGTTCTCAAACGCCGCTAACTTTAGCGGCGCCGGTATGGCCGGCGCTTCTTGTGGCGTTTTTCCAATCGCCGTAAGTACTTTTAGCGGCGCTTAAAAACGCCGCTATAGGAATAAAAAAAACGCTGCTAATACTCTGTTTTGTTGTAGTGTCAGTATCCAAGTCAATTTGTAAAATAATCTTATGAGAATTTTAGCTCACTTAAACGACGAGCAAATCACAAAGTCTTAAAAAATATGCAGAAGTGTAACACCCAAAAGAGACACCCTAGATAAAGTGCAAAGAGTAAGAATTTAGAATAAATGCTTGATAGTGTTACTTAAAAGTAATGGATGATATAAGTGGAGTTAAGAAAGCCACATTTATAGTTTTTGAATAGCAGCCTCTATTTATAGTTGAGTTCTCTTATATTGTATAGTTTAAATCAAAATCAAATCCTTTGTATAAGAAAACAATATTAAATCCTATAAAATCACATCAATTAATATATTACATTATGAAAAAAAATACTCCGAAATATTTCTTGGTAAGATATCACTTCCTTTATTTTATCAAAACCAATGTAATTCAGTCTTCTAATATCATCTAAATAGTGGGTTAATCCGAAATTCCGTACAAAACCTCTTTTAACATATACTACATGTTTCAATCCTCTCTTTTTTTTAAAGGAGAATTTCGTTCAAATGTCAACGGGTCAAAGATTACGTCATTTTTAACATATTTCGGTTCATCGAAAAAGAAAAAACAAGGATTGATCCTCGACAAGGCCCATTGCGTTAGAGTGTGTTCCACTTGATTGGCTTCATGGTTGATATAATGGACCTCGAGTGTTGGGGAGTCTTCTAGAAAGGTGTGCACCTCGTTGAGCATCAATCCTATCACCGAAAGATTGTTATGATGGTTCGTGAGTCTGTTCACGATGGAAATAGCACCCCCTTCAATAACCATATCGTGCAGTCCGTTCTCAATTACAAATCTAATACCCTCCGTAAAGGCAGCAGCCTCTGCCGATTCTGCTGTGTGACCACTCTCTAAACATCGTGCCATCCCTCCAATGACCATACCAAATTGGTCCCTCGCAACTACCCCAATTGTCGCGGTTCTGTTGTGGGCAACATACGCGCCATTAACATTGATCTTCAAGCAACCACCCTGTGACTTAGTCCAAAGCTTTTTATTGCTTGCTCCCGTCGATCTCTGATTGGCTGAGAAAAGGTTGGATGCCTCGGTTAGTTCCCTAACCAAGTTCCATGTTGCATTGATCACGTCTCTCGTACATTGAAGTTTTTTGTTATGGACTCATTTGTTGTGACGATTCCAAATGTTCCAAAGAAGAGAGATAAATTTAGACAATCCCGATCGATCCATGAGATTAGCTGCCTCTTCAAGCCACGATTTACATCTTTTTATTGTCCCAATCCTCATCTGGCGTCCGTGGTACAATTTTCATCCCAACAACATTCATAACACTTTTAACCCGTCACCTGCTGAAAGATCTTTCCCCTTTGGATCATATTTTATCTTAGAAAATCTAGAGCTTTTAAGCATCCTAAAAGCATCCATATCTCCTTCAGAAAGATCTTCCCACCCACCTGCCTCCTTCAATTCCATAAATTCTTCATCTTGCACTTCTTCTCCTCCAAACTAATATGAAGAGGATTTGGTATCCCAAAGTCTCATTTATATTGTTTATGATCATACTCTCCGCCATCCACCTCTCAAGTTGCAGATACATCTATGCAAGTCCAATCAACGGAGCTGAACAAACAAGCAAGACAGGTTTCTCAACACGGCATTTCCCTGCAGAGAGTGAAGCAGTTCATCAAGTGGACTATCGAACAGTTCCTGGAGGAGCAAACCCCCCTCCATAACTGATTACTCTTTCTTTCTGGCAGCTTAATTATAATGGACTTGTTTTGTTACCTCTCTTGAACTAGTATCTCTTCATAATTTTCTTAATTCATGACGACACACCAGCTTTATCACTGAGGTCACTTAATGGTTCTTTTTTCGTCACGGTTATATACGGTTTGAGAGAAAGAAATGCAATCGTATTTGTTTGATTCTCAGAGTAGTTCACGGAACGTAAATAATTCAGAAAATTTTCCCACTGTAATCGTGTATATAATTTTGTAGAATAAAATTGCTCTGCAATTTTCTGGGAAATTCAGAAACCAAATATGCAATCTGAGTCCTTCAATCTTATGACTTGCATCTTGAGTTCGATGTCTCATCTACTATTTTGTGGACTATATTTGCAACCAGAAAATATATTCAGTCGGGATTTGCTTCATAATCAAAAAGTAGCTTACAAGCCAAACATATGTGGGATTCTTTACTTGTTTCAACAAAGCCCATTGCAAATATTATGAAGCTAAATCTTCAACATAGCAAAACTTACCAACACAATTGCATGTCACAATTCCTTTTATTTGGGCTAAATATTAGCAGTAAAATGTGGAAAAATAACTTAGAATCATTCTCTCTTATTCAGATGAAGTTTTTTATAATGGAAAATTAATATTGTGGCCTAATCCTCATCTGAAGAGTGCCTTCTCCTTCCATGAGATTTACCCCTTCGACGACGGTCATCCCTTTCATCGTCGCTCGAATGCCGATCCTATCACAAAGCAATCAAATTTAATTTCGGGTGGAAATATGTTCCTTCAAATATACGACAGAAAAAGTAAACTAACTCTTCCGGGTGAAGATTGTTTCCACCCTCCGTAAGATTCATCCCTCCCATAAACTGGGGAAGATCCACCCTGTTACGAAGCAATTAGAGTATTAGTGTGTACTAGATTCATTAAGTAAGGTCAATGATTCTACTTATGATATTGTGAATGAAATTAGTGTATGTATCAACAACCTATTGTTAGTTGTATTAGATTCCTTAAGTAAGGTCAACGATTCCACTTATGATATTGTGAATGAAACAAACTAGGTTGGGAGAGTCAATCCATAGTGAACATCTATACTACTCGATCCTGATTAATCGATCAATAAATTGGATACTAAATTTTATACCGAAAAAAGAAGAAGGAAAAGGAAAACAAATACCTCAGGGGTGAAAGTGAGACCAACTTTAATCTCTCCCTTGAAAACTTTATCCCTAACAACATTATATGCAGTTGGGGGAATGTTTCCTTTCTGAAATACAGCCCTCAAAGGAATTCTGCAGATACCATTAAAAAGCTTGTGAATGTAGTGCAAATGAAACACTTGAGAGTTACAGCAGTACTCACTGAGCTTCTCCGACGAAATCATCGAAAGCGATATCGCTGTCCATTATTTTCAGTTTGAGTTCTTCGGCACCTTTCGACACATTGAATACGAAATTCTCGTTCCATACAGGTTCACTTCCATGTCCTGTTGCAACACTGCTTTTCTGCTCCTGAGTTTTTAAGGTCATGATCACATAAGGATCCATTTTACCTGCTCATTCCCACATCATTTCCATTACCAAACACGCGTCGAAAAATGGACACAAGATTTTATGTCAGAGGCGAACTCGAAGAACAAAACTCACCGAATGTATCCATGTCCTCAAGACCCTTGGCCCTAACAAGAGAAACTTCAAGTGATCCCTGAGGCATGTTTGGAGCTCGAAACTCACCAACAATGAATTAATGAATGAAAAATGGGAAACACAGATTCCAGGTAGCTATATATACTCATTTGTTTACCACGTTTCTTGGATCTCTTTCTCGATTTGCTTTTTTTTCCCCTTCCAGGAAACTAAAAATAACACACCTGATGTTTGACTCGGTAAATTAGGAAGACCCCTTGACCCTCAACTACAACACTCGATTAATTTTCTCAAGGATTGCCTAATTAGTGCCAAGTGGCTTTCTGTAAATCATATTTCTTTCTTTTGAGTACATAAATTCGTTCTTCTATGTTTTGCTTGTAACTGGTAATTAATTGGAAAACAAAACAAAGCCTTGTGCCACTTCAAACCCTCTCGACCATAAATCAAACAACGCTGAATGAATGCCATTTAATGCTTGTGAAATCAATTCTCTGATATGAGGATTACTGGACCGTGGAAATTCTTGCATCACCAACAGTGTGGCCCGTGGGAGTCCGAATCAAACACTCGACAAAAACATAATTCACACGGTTGTATTTAGAAAAAAGTTCACATTAATCAATCATTTTAGAGAGGAGAGTAATGATCCCGTGAAAAATAATATCAAAATAATCTTTTAATTGTTTGATTTCAAGTCGAACTTCTTAGGTGTGATAAGCATGATAGATAACCACGACGAGGGTATCAATTTTTATTGATAATTACATGATTACATAACAACAAATATACTCAAATTAAATTTCCTACTTTTAATCAACGTCTAATAGAATAAATATAGTCTTGTATGATTCAATATGCGGCAAAATCTGTGAACTTTTAAGGACAAAACAAATGGATCCCAAATTTTCTTTCAATTTATTTTTTCCATTAAGTGTATTATACCATGAACTTTGTTGCACTAAAACAAACAAAATTCAAATCATAAAAAACAAATAATGAGTGGTGAACTCTAATTAGCAGGAAGACCTATCTTTATAGCACTTATAACTAGGGTTGTAAACAAGCTAAGTTGAACTTAAGTATTGTTGAGCTCAATTCGAAAATTTATTAGCTTAAAATTATTAAGTTCTACTCAAACTTGAAATAAAAAATTAAAATTTGACTCGATTCAAAAGCTCATGAGTTTAAAATTTTTAAACTTGACTCGAAATCAAAAATTAAAGCTCAACTCAAGTTCGAAAAAACTTGAATTCAAAATATTATCAAACTTAACTTGATTGAAGCTCAAACTCAAACCAAAACCTTAAGTACATGAAAACCTTATGTTGTATTTTTTAAAAAGAACAATATATAAAATGTTAATATTATTCAGTGTTAATATTATTCAGTGAAAAATGCACATATAATCGAAGGTGGGCACGTACCCACCCTGAAATATAAATTTCCTTCGATTAGTTAACTATTTTATTGATGGTGCTCACCTTGAAACTTTTTTTGCGTTCACCTCATTCAAAAATTGTGATATTAACTTATGTGTGTCCATCCTTAAAAATATTTCCGGATTCACCACTGATATTATCAATAATTTAATTTAAAAAAACTAAAAAATTAAATATATTATTTTTTCGAGTTGCTCACAGAATTTTCGAGTCGTGTATTAAATAGCTCACTAAGAATTCGAGTCGAATTCAAGTTTAAGTCAAATCCATTCAATTCAAGAGTTAACTAAACTTTGAACAAATCGATCTCGAATAACTCACGACGATCTGTCTCGTCTATTTACAACCCTACTTATAACATAGTATTAATTGTTCTTCTCAATCACTATCAAATTTTTTGTTTTCCCCAAATTTGCCTCTTCTCACATATTTTTACCCTTTGATTTTTTATGGAGAAAAAAAGGAAATTTAATAAGAAATACAATGAAACATACATAAAAAAATAGCTAGCAAAGCAATCAAGAGCAAATAAAATCCTTGAGCGGATGTAGTTGCGGAACATAAAGCACACATCCGTAGAGAAATATAAACAAAACCAAAAACAAGACAACATAAAGAACAACAAACAAATAGCTTGCTTGTTGAGGTACCAAAGCTTCATCTCGGTAAACCTTTATCTTTCGGAGAACGAAGATCTTGATCATGGGAGCTTCAGCGAAGAGGGTCACGCCATCGTCTGGGGTACTGGTCGTCAACAACATAAAGTGGAACGAATGTAAAACGGTCTAGCATGCATTAACTTGCGCATACTTCAAATATACTTTCAGATACATCATGAAATGCAAAAGGCAATATATATTTGGCTCCTCCCGAACCAAAAAGGTTATATTATATGTAAGGATATTCACTGGGCCACAAAATATTCCTTTGATATAACATAAGCAAGGCATATAGAAGCAGGAAAAAGGGCCGGGTAAAGCTCCAAATATGATTGTGAAAAAAAGAGCGTGATCACCTGACAGCCCCAAAGTCTAGTCTTCTTCAATGACATTAAGTTTGCCTTCTGTAAACTCACATGCGGGAATGGGGATTCCAAGGTGCTTCTGTAACTTCTTTACAACAAATACTTCCGGCTCCTCACATACGGTTACCACAGTTCCTTTCCTACCAAGCCGACCCGTCAGACCAGCTCGGTGTGCATAGTGGATAGAGTCAGTAGGCAAGTCCAGATTAACCACAAGATCACATTCGGCCACATCCAAACCCCTTGCTGAAAGTTCATTTGTCACCAAAACTCTCACTTCTCCATTCCTGAACTTTTTCAAAGTTGTTGACCTTGCAAGCTTGCCAAGATCACCATGCAGCTCTGCAGCTACTATCCCACGGGCCTCTAGCTTGAAGACAGCATCCTTTAGCTGCTTTGTATGGTTCATGAAAGCTATCACTGACTTGGCATCAAGTGCGTGTACACATCTTCTCAATGTATCAACCTTATGTTGTAATTTTGAGACACAATGGTAGTGTTTCAAAGCAGGTGGTAGGCTTTGCAATGCCGCCTGTGTCCGCATACTTGAGTCTGAACCAGATGTAGGTTTTAAGATATTAACAGGTCCAGAGGGCGCAACGGATTCAAGTGGCATGACCTTTTTAGTTTGGACAAGAAGTGGGTCAGAACCCCAGCTCCTAGCTGCCCTTATAACAGAATATGGAACTGTAGCAGACACCATAATGGTCCGACGCTCAGCCCAATTAGCAATTGAGCAATGGGGGTCAGCACCTGACCTCCTGCCCACATGTTCCAATATCCGGTGCATATCCTCCCGAAAGTTAAATGAAAGGAGCTCATCAACTTCATCTAAAACTAAGAAACGAAAGCTATGAGTGTGAAGCTTCCCAGCTGTACTGATCTCTGCAATTCGACCAGGGGTTCCAACAACAATTGCTGGCTTGTTCTTCTTTAAAGCTTCTTCCTGTCTTGATCGATTTGCACCTCCCACAAGTTGCTGAACAACTTTCTTGTCTTCAGGTCCCAGAAGCTTTTCGACCTCCCTAACGATTTGCATTCCCAGTTCCCTAGTGGGAGCTACAATAACAGCATCAATCTCCTTTTTCTTCCCAGAAACACCATCGCCATCGGGAGATTTCTTTTTCAGTGGGCCTACTTCAGAAAGTATGGGAAGCAGATACGCTAATGTTTTTCCTGAGCCTGTGTATGATTGAAGCACTACCTCATGACCCTTGATAATTGTTGGAACTGCTGCAGACTGAACATCAGTCGGAACCGTGAAGCCCGCTGCATCTAACCTCTCTAGCAACAAATGTGGGAGGCCAAACTCAGAAAATGACTTCGCTGCGAAAGGAGCTGATTCAATTTCTAGTGATTTTTTCACCCCAACCGCCTTCACTGTTTTTATGCTATTGCTTCCAACACCCCTCGACTTACTTTTGGGTGTTTCATTAGAAACATCAAGCCTCTCGATTTATTTGCTTTGTGCTTGTTTGTTTTCTCACTGTCGCTTTTAAAACCAAGGCTGGCAAGAGTAGAGGTTCGTTATCAGGATTAACCTGACTCACAGATCGTACACTGATCCGGCCCCAAACACTCCTAGACACATTAGGTAACCTGGACGAGGGTAACGATTCCCCGAACAATAGAAGAAACCTTGTTGAGGGTAATGCTAGCATCTTTTCCAGATTGTAAATGACCAGTAACTGAAAATTCCACTTTTACAATTCCAGCAACATTGACAATCAAAGGATTGCGAAAAAGCTTTTTGAAAACAGAATCTCAAGCTGCAGATCTGATGAAAACACAATAAGGGTCAGAGCTGTATTAATAGAAATATAATCTGGACATCAAGCTTCTTAACATGCTAAACCCACCAATCAAACACTTGAATTCACAATATCAGTAGAAATGAAACAAAAAAAAAATCGAATTTCATAACTAAAGTATAAACTACAATACAAGAAGCACCCAAAAGATGTGTCTAGCAAGATCTCGCTCTCTAGCCTTTTGTCTATCTTCTGAAGTTCGTAATACAATACTTAAAAATGCAACCGAAATATATTAGAATTGTCAAATAATTGGAATGAGAATTCTTGTTCAAAAAATGGAAGGAAAGACCACTTGAGTGACATATGTTTGGTGGTAATACATTGAAGGTCATTTCACTGCTGACTGAAACATTTAATCAAACAGTTTGAGAGCAATGTCAGCGCCAACTAATGCAACCGCAATTTGACAGAAATATTCAAATTAGAGCCATGCTAACGATAAACAATCGTGCATTCGGGTAATGGCTTTGATCTTCCATTTTCAAGAGAAAATTGGCAAAGAAAAACTTACCTTAAAGCTCGAACAGCGTCCGGCCTCTACGTGATAGAAGTAAACTATAAGTCAAACGCCACGTTTCGGATAGGGTTATTAGCTAGCTATGTTGCACTAATACGTATACGGGGACGGATAAAGGGATGGAAAACGGTAATTTTTAAAATTACAGGATACGGGAATGGTAAGGGTATGTCATATAAAATAATTTTAAAATTATAAATAGATGTAAAAAATTATAAATAAAGTTGAATATCAAGACTCAAACCACAATATTAAATTTAAAACAATAAAATCTATAAATAAATAAAAATA